TCATTTAACCTAGGGTTGACCTAGGGTTGACCCAAATGAAACCCTAATTGACTGCATTCCACTGCAACTCTTGTAATCAAACCAATGACTTGCTTCATCTTCAAACTGACCCTCTAGGCCCTCCATGATGATAGAACACATTCCATACCCTCAGTTCATATCTCATATCTCATTGATGACCCTCAAACACACCCCAAATAGGAGAGAGATCCACTGTTTGACCTTCTAACTTCTCAAAACTTCAATTCCTTTCCTGGTGACTTGAATAGGCTTAGGCTTGAATAAAACCCCTTTGGATGTGCCTCTTTAGAGAATAATGACACTTAATCCCTTGTTGGATGACTTGCTTATGCTATGCTATGCAAATGATTGAACTATGTACACTATCTACTATGCAAATGACAATGCAACTGAAACATAAATCAAGTAAAATAAGTTGGTCAAATTTTAGGGTGCAAAAGTATGTTGACTTGGCAGCTTTCCATATTATGTCCTTCAACATCTTTCCAGGAAACTTTTTCCTAAAATCGTTATAGAGGTGCCTAACACAAAACTTGTGCTCCACCCTTGGCAATTGCTCATCCATAGTAGGTAGCAGACCCTGCAATAACATACAATGTAGCATTACAATATAGCATAACATGAATAACATAACATAAACACATAAAACCATAAGAATAAATGAAAAACTTTCCTTTTGTTGGTCTGAGATGAAGGTGTAAGTCAGACATTCATCTTTGCCTCCAAGGTCATCAATTAACAGCTCTAAAAACCAAGTCCAACTATCCTTGTTTTCACTCTCCACAACTGCATATGCTATGGGAAGCATCTGATCATTAGGATCCCTCCCAATGGCAGCTAGAATCTGCCTTCCACACAACCCCTTAAGAAAACACCCATCTAGACCTATCATATGCTTGCACAACTTAAAATTTTCCTTACACGCAACATAACATATGTAAAGCCTTCTAAAATATGGTCTTTCATCCTCAACACCTTCTTGTACAGGCTCAATATTGAGCTTAACTATTGACCCTGGATTGGCTCTTAACAGTTCATGACAGTAGTCATAGACCCTTGTGTAATCTCCCAAAAAGGAACCATCAACATAGTCTCTAGCTGCAAATCTTGCTCTTATAGATTTGGTTTTGTTGACCCCAACATTCCACTTTTTTTGTGCCTTCTCCTTGATATCCTTTATACTCAACCTTGGATTGTTTTTCAAGCTATTCTGAATTATTTTACTCAACCACTTTGTACTCATCAGCTTCACATTATACTCTCTACTACAACTGTGTTTGTCAATTACTTTCCTGAGTTGCCAAGTGTCTTCATTTGACAACTTGCTACAATAAGCCTCCCACTCACAACCAACTTTATATCTAACCCTTACCCTAACTCTGTCATTTTTTACAAACCTTAGGTCTCTACCATTTTGCACAGCATAAGTTGTTATTGCTTCCCTAAAATCACCCTTTGAACTAAAGTACATTCCCACATCCCACTTGTAATCTGACATGTCTTTTGGCTGTCTGAAAATTGGATGTTTTTTCTTAGAACTCCACTGCTATCATCACTGTCACAACCATTTTGCATGTTCTCACTGTCATTGTCACTCCCTTTACCATTATTTTCTTGGACTTCTCCATTACCATCATTTTCATGACCAACTAGGGTATCAAGTTCATCCTCCTCAATCTCATCACACCCATCAGACTCATCCTCAAAAGCCACATTTGGTGTGATACCATAATTGTAGTCCTCATCTTCACTATCAGATGATAAACTTAAGTCATCATACACTGCAGCTTTACCTTTTTCAACTCCAACATTACCTTCTTCCCCTACAGGATTCCCTTTTTCAACTCCAAAATTACCTTCTTCCCCTGCAGGATTACCTTGTTCAACTCCAATAGTATGTTCATCCACTGCAGGATTCCCTTGATCAACTCCAACATTACCTTCCTCCAACCCAGCAGTGGCTTCATAAACTCTAACATCACCTTCCTCCAACCCAACAGTGGTTTGTTCAACTTCCACAACTTCATCATGCAATTGACTAAGTAATTCCTCTACCTCATCTGCAATTTCAGCAGGGTCCTCATCAACTTCATCAACAACAACATCACAGTAGTCAGGTTGAGACAAGGTGTATTCAATATAAATATCAACATTTTGGTGCAACCTATACAAATCTGCAATTTCTAAAGGACCATTGTCATCAACAAGTGGATTCATCCCAAATTGAGGGTCCTTGTAAAATATTGTTTCAAACTCCCTATAACCTAAGTCTTTCAATACACCAACTAGCTTAAAATAACTCCATTTGTCTACATCTACTCTCAAATCATCTACTACTCCATTCTCATATACACTACGACCTTCATCTGTGAACTCACCATTATGATGAATTTTGAGACTTATGTATTCATCCATGATACCTAATCATATCATCTAAATAATTAGAGTTTACACTAAAAAATTTACATAAACCCTAAATTTGAACCTCTAGCAGATATTGCCTATGAGATTCGTAAACCCTAAATCAGAGATAAATGAACTAACCTTTTGACTATGTCTCCTTGAATCGTCTTCAATCCTCCGCCCTCAATCCTTTGCGTCTTGAATCTTCGCGTCTGCAAACCTTGAATCGTCTTCAATGATTCAATGATTCATTGAGTCTCCAAGCGTTGTATCGTGTAATCTTCTAGGTAATGGAAATGTTGGATTGTTTTATCTTCCTTTAAGACATTTCATATCCACGTCAGCAACTCCACCTAGACAAACGTGACATTTTTTTAAAAGTTTGACTAACGGCAACAAACGGAAGGATAAATGTGACACCATTTTAAAAGTTAAAGGACCAACTTGACACTTTTTAATGTTAATGAACCAAACTGGACCCCGAGTTAAAGTTAAGGGACGAAAAGGGTTATTTTATCTAATTTAATTTAAAATTTCATGTTATTATTTGGTCTTTTAAATATAACTTTAATCGATTTAATTTATTTGTTAAATTTTAACTTTAATAAATAAGATGTGAAAATATTATTAAGTGTTCATTTTAATTTTATTATATTTTTAAATTTTAACAAATAAATCATTTAAACAAATTTTACACCTTAGAATTTTAGTAATCTATTGAAAGTAATTGTGAATCATCAATACTTAATATCATTTACACTTCTTCATCTTCTTTCCACGTATTCTTAATATCTTTCCTTCATCTCCATCATCATCTTTATTAACTTCATTCAAAATAAATCCAAAAAAATTTGAAAAAACATTAATTAAAAACAATAATTTTTCTTAACTGCACTCCTTGATTTGGATGCAATTTTTACAAGTCTGGTCATTGAGCTTTAGAATTCCTCTTATTAGCTTCTTATTGCAATGTTAAGTAAAGGATGTGCAAAATGGACGAATAAATGAATATAGATTGAATTTTCAATTGTTAACATCAATCAAAATAATTTATTAAACTCTTTTAAAAAAATTAAATAAAATCTATCAAATCTATCTATTAACAAATTTATAATTGATGAATATTCTGTTGAGTAGAACGGACGTGAGGGGTGCTCATATCTTTCTCTTGTGTAACAGACCCCCGAATTCAAAATTTAGTTGTAATGACTTTGTTTTTTTTTCCGTTTTTCAGGTTTTCTTCGATAGTTTCCTTTCTCTCTTTTTGAAATGAATAACGTTCGGTAGTAACTCTTCTATTTTTTTCCGGATATTTTTCGCAGTTGCGACGTTAAACCGTATGGTTAGTCCAAAAAAAATATATTAATAAAGTAACGTTATAATGTGAATTGATATATACATTAAATTACTTTTTATAAAATCTATTATCATATTATATAGTTACCAAAATCAATATTCTTCTAACGAAGCTTTGTCAAGTTTATTATAAAAAAGTAAATTTTCTATAAATAACTAGACTAGCAAGCAAGATATAATCTCCATGAGCCAATTTGACCAAATTAGATCTAATTAACCCAACCAAAAGTCACACATTTCTCAACCTTTCAACTACTCCCACAGTCAAATTACATCTAATTAACCCAACCAAAATTCACACATATTGAGCAACAAATCAGTGATCTCATATCAAACGAAATGATCAAATCATTAAAAGAGCTTGAAACTAAATAAAAGAAACAAAATTCATGTGAGGTCAACCTGATCAGTGTGCATCTCATTTTCATGGGTTGAAAATAATTGAGTTGAGTTATTTAGAACATCAATATCACTCAAAACAATGTGCCTGCTGAATACTAGCATCTCTTGCAAATTCTTGTGAATTTGTTAATTTATTTTTAAAATATCCGGCCTTGTGACCGACTAATGTAAGGGAATCAATCCCACCGTTAATCAGCATGGTTCATTTAAAGTTGAATCAAAGTTCTGTATAGACCGAGTCAGAAATTATTAGTACTTAGCAGGATTCGAACATGAGACTTTAAGAGGACCAGACTCCCCGAACTCAAGTTTTCATCTCGACCATTGAATGCGCACAATTGATGACAGTAAGAAATCCAAATTCCTATCATGATCTTTTAAACAATGAGAGAGTCCTTTCAATAACAACTTGCTGTATTAACCAAGAGGTTGATGAACCATGTATAAAATTTCTATTACATGCAAATTTATGTTAGAAATGAAATTTTGACAAAACACAAAAAGCCAAAAATTTTCTAGTCCAGGCATATATGCTCCTAATGGAATCATATTAAAGGAGTGTTACGTGTTCATACTATCTTATTAAGGTGGTACAACTTTTGACACAAACCAATGAATGTGGTATCATAGCCACCCCTCAAATAGCATACAACTTTTACTAGAATTTAAAGCTCTCTCTCTTTCATACACATAAAATTGATCCCAATGCAAATTGAATGGCGTTGGTGGAATGATTGTATTTATTAACTGATAAAGTTGTTGTTGTACATTAAGTACTAGTGCGATCACTGATCAGAGTTCACCCAAACACTTCAAGTATGAGAGAACAAAGGGTCCTTCATATTGAAGAAACTAGTCAAATTGAGAGATCTAGGTGGGTTCTGGATTCTCCTAACCCACCACCATTTTGGAAGAAGCTATTCTGTTTGATCAAAGAGACTCTTTTACCTCATGGAAATAAGCTATGGTTTTGTTCTAAGAAGAAGAGTTTTCAATCACATGCTTTGTATTTCTTGCAGAGTTTGTTTCCTATTCTTGTTTGGTTGAAAGATTACACTGCTTCTAAGTTTAAAGATGATCTTTTATCTGGTTTAACTCTTGCCAGCCTTTGCATACCTCAGGTAGGTTCTGACAAACATCACTTCTCGTCTTTTAGGACGTGCAAAACAGACTACCGCACAGGTCCCAAAAATTTTCATGGTTAAACCAGGTTGAGCCTCCGAAAACTTAAGACGGCCCTGCTGTCATGTACTCTTGCAGCCGTCATGAAGTATACTAGACACAAATTTAACGAGGCTCTATTTAGATACCGTTTAACCTAGGCCCTGTGCGGTAGTCTGTCTTGCTTGCACTCAAAGACGGCCTTAAAAGTATATTTTCAGACCCATGTGTGTTTTTTTTAGAAATAATGAATGAACAAAAGAAAAGGGGATTATTTCGAAAAATGCATGAGAAACATCAACATTTATATTCTTAAATTTTCATTTGAATGTTGCAGAGTATAGGATATGCAAGTTTGGCAAAAGTTGATCCTCAATATGGCCTATGTAAGTGTCTTACTTCTGTTATTGTGCATGTTTGGATTATGGATTATCTTTTGAAAGACTCAAAAGTGATTATGATGAGTTAAAATTTATTTATATTCAGATACAAGTATTGTTCCTCCTCTTATTTATGCTGTGATGGGAAGCTCAAGAGACATTGCAATTGGACCTGTTGCTGTAGTGTCTATGCTGTTATCTTCCTTGGTCACAAAAGTCATAGATCCTGTTGCTAATCCTCATGCCTATAGAGATTTTGTCTTCACTGTCACCTTCTTTACCGGAATTTTTCAAGCAGGATTCGGTATTTTCAGGTGATTTTTTTTCTCATTACCATGCAAATTTTCTTCCAAAATAAACCAAATAGCTTATTTATCCTTCAATGTTTACAGGTTGGGCTTTCTTGTGGATTTTCTTTCACATGCTGCACTAATTGGATTCATGGCCGGAGCAGCAGTCATTATCGGTCTTCAACAGCTCAAGGGTCTTCTGGGAATTACTCATTTCACTGCAAAAACTGATGCAGTATCAGTTTTGGTTTCTGTTTATAAGTCATTACATCAGCAAATTACTTCTTCTGAAGAAAAAGTGAGTTTGTATATGTTTTGGCTTTAAATATGTTTTGAATAATTGGATTTGTGTCCATCTTGTTGTTGATATTTGGTTCTATTTTGACAGTGGAGTCCTATGAATTTCGTTCTCGGGTGTTCGTTCTTGATTTTCCTTCTCGTTACTCGATTCATAGTAAGTAATGAAAATTTCAGTATTTAGATATCGTTACTTCGCTATGATATGTATTAAATGAAGGATATTGTTTCGTTTTAGGGAAGAAGAAACAAAAAACTTTTTTGGTTGCCTGCGATTGCTCCTCTTCTATCGGTTATACTATCGACTTTAATTGTGTATTTATCGAAAGCTGATAAACAAGGAGTTAATGTGATAAAACATGTCAAAGGAGGGTTGAATCAGAGTTCAGTTCATCAGTTACAATTCCATGGTCAAAATGTCGGGCAAGCGGCCAAAATTGGATTAGTCTGCGCAGTTATCGCGCTAACCGTAAGCTAATAGTAGTCCCTTATCTAATTTTTTTGAAGTTATTATTTCTAATTTATAATTTGTATTCCATATGAACTTCTGATTCAGGAAGCGATGGCTGTTGGTCGATCTTTCGCTTCGATTAAGGGATACCAACTCCATGGGAACAGAGAAATGCTATCAATGGGAATCATGAACGTTGCAGGATCTTTAACTTCATGCTATGTCGCAACCGGTACTGTCATTTGTTAATCATTAACATAGATAATTTTGAGGGCATTTTGAGGTTTTGCTTAAGGTTCTTTTGTTACATTTTCTTGCTGCAGGTTCTTTTTCAAGGACAGCGGTTAATTTCAGCGCAGGATGTCAAACAGCGGTATCGAATATTGTGATGGCAGTTACTGTGATTTTGTTCCTGCAATTATTTGCAAGGCTCTTATACTACACACCTATGGCTATCCTGGCTTCTATCATCCTTTCTGCGCTTCCTGGACTAATTGACTTAAACGAGGCTAGCTATATCTGGAAGGTTGACAAGTTAGACTTTCTTGCTTGTATTGGCGCTTTCTTTGGCGTCTTGTTCGCATCCGTAGAGATCGGTCTTCTTGTAGCCGTAAGTCATAGACCACTTCCAAACTCTGATGCTTTAAAGGACTAACAATGTTATACGCGTCTCATATCGGAGATCTTCTTCTGAGGTCATGTCATGGTTTTTTTTATTGCTTACTTGTCTTCCAAGTAAAGTCAACAGCTGAGAGATGCGTATTGTATACGTTTTAGGATTCATGATTCCAACGTTTCAAATGTTTTTTTATGGATACGCAGGTGACAATATCGTTTGCAAAGATACTAATACAATCGATTCGACCGGGAGTAGAAATTCTAGGACGAGTTCCAAGAACGGAAGCCTTCTGTGATGTTACTCAATATCCAATGGCCATAAGCACACCAGGCATCGTAGTGATTCGCATAAGTTCCGGCTCACTCTGCTTCGCGAATGCGAATTTTGTCAAAGAAAGGCAAGCGTTTATCAAATGATCTTGAAACGGGATTTAGTAATATCCCTTAATAACAGCCATGTATGAAACTTTTTTCGCTTGTTCCAGAATACTCAAGTGGGTCGTGGAAGAAGACGAGATTCAAGAAACCGCTAAAGGAAATGTTCGAGCCATAATTATGGACATGACTAGTGAGCTTCGTTACATTAATTTTTTCAGAATTCAGAATTGTAACTTAACATTTTTAACATCGATATGACTCAAATGATCGTCTTGATTTCTGCTTAATAGACCTGATGAACGTTGATACTTCCGGAATTCTAGCACTTGAGGAATTGCATAAGAGGTTGCTTTCCCGCGGCGTAGAAGTGAGACTACCATGAATTTTCATTCCTTGTGGCTAATATAAGAACGAGTTAACCATCATTGTCGCATTTTTTAAATTTGGTTGTAAAAACATTTCTCTAACACATGTGTTATATGATTTTTGCAGTTAGCTATGGTGAATCCAAGGTGGCTGGTAATTCACAAGCTGAAGCTTGCTCACTTTGTGGACAAAATTGGGAAACAATGGGTTTTTCTGACGGTTGGAGAGGCCGTCGACGCGTGTCTGTCTTCTAAAATTGCTACTGCTTAATGTTGTTTGTGTCTGTTACAACCTTTTATTACATAAATTTGTATGTTGCTCTAAAGGGATTTTACTGACTACCTTATTATAATGTATCAGTTTTGGAGAGTGATGTTTATATGAGTATATGGTTACTTACATATCATTCTAATGATAGTTAATGTATAACTCAAGTTTAAGTTTTGATATTAAAACACAATGGATAATGCTATTGAGTATTGGTGCAACAAAACAATTTTTTTGGTATAGGACACAACAAATAACTTGCAGTTAATAAAACTTATATAAAGTTTATTTTCACCTATATTTGCTTAAAGCTAATCACCTCAAACATTATGGTTTTGGTTAGAGGTGACAATTGAATTCATTAAATAAAAAATCATTCAAATTTGTTCAAAAAAAAATTCATCTAATCTTATTCATTACCCATAAAATTAGTTAATGGATTGGACTTCATCCATCTATTAGAATCATGGATTAATCTAATCCATTAACTAAATTTTTTAATCTATTGGATCATTTTTATAGTAAAAAATATTTTATTATTTCAAAAAATATATATATAAAAAAATAATTAAAAAACACATAATTCTCTCTCTCTCTCTCTCTCTCTCTCTCTCTCTCTCTCTCTCTCTCTCTCTCTCTCTCTCTCTCTCTCTCTCTCTCTCTCTCTCTCTCTCTCTCTCTCTCTCTCTCTCTCTCTCTCTCTCTCTCTCTCTCTCTCTCTCTCTCTCTCTCTCTCTTATTTTCTTATAAAAAATATCATAATTTTATAAAAAAATCTTTCTATTTTATTTTCTGAATTACTTTAAGGTAAGAATGATGACAATCAACTTGTAACAACAAGTGTTTGAATGATAAGCTTTAAGGTAAGAATGATGACAATCAAAGCATCAATGCTAAAGAGTTCAAATGAGGTAACAATCCAAAAAAGGCAGTAGCTACATGATGTTATGTTCAACATGCTCAAATGATTAGGAAAAGGTCACAAACATATCAAACACACACCAAAACAACAAGTATACTTGCTACAAACTTAATCACACAAAGACAAGTGTAAAGAACGATTCAATCATGTAAGTTAAACTCAAAAGCCAAATGGGCAGTAGCATAAACATCTCATAAGGCTCATATTCAATAATAGGAATTCAATAGAAACACAAACATGAACCTCATCAAGGCATGAACAAAACCATATGAAAGAAAGAAGTCAAAACATCATGAAATAACTCAAACAAAACAAGACATGCATAGATAATCAAATGGGCAAGCAAGAACATTTTGGAATCATGAAGTCAGAATCTAAAAATGCTTTTCAAACCATACATACACATATATTCATCAAGACAAACACTCAAAGAATCATACCTAAAAACTAGGTCAAAGTAAACACCAAGACATACTCCAAATGAACCCTAAGTTGATGCACCAACCAAAAATAGAAAAATGGTCAAATAAAATTCAACTCAAAGCTTTAAGTCATGTTCAAACATTCAAGAATACATGTGCAAAAACTCACAACAAGATTAGTACAAAAACTCCATTAAAAGTCACTAACAAGCTCATAGGTGTAAGAAGAATCGAGTCCTTTAGAATCAAACCAAAAGTTAATCAAACAACAACTTTTATGGCCACCAAAAATACTCAAGATACCCTCAATCATATGTAATAACATGTCAAAAAATCAGATGAAAAAGACACTCAAATGAAAAACCATAATTCAAGGGTAGTATGGTAAAGATGTCTAACCAAATGATTTAAATAAAATAATAAAATAAATAATAAAAATAAATAAAAATTACAAAAACTTAGTTAAGACAAAAAGGATTCTAAAAGTATTTTTTATATGATTTTAAAATATTTGGGGGATCAAAAATAAAAAATAAAATGAAAATGACAAACATGAGAAAAAAGTGAAATAAGGAAGATAGGTGGGGGTGCACTAGTAGGAAACTGAAACAAGTGAAATCAATTTATCATGCTTGGGCTTCTAAAAAGTGGGGGTATGGATAGCATTGCGTTAGACCCATGTTTGCAAAAAAAAGACCAAATAATAAAAAACAAAAAGAAGCCATGATGGACTCACTTAAATGACATGGCATGACATGGCGCACACGTGGATGGTCAAGGGAAGGAAAGGAAGAACAACCACATAGGACACTGGAGCCCTAGTGTAACACCCATTTTAATTATTTAGTCTTTTTGGTGTTATTTTATTTTGGTGTGTCCTTATGTGGGGGTGTGGCTGAGAGTGTTGGTGGGTACCCTTAAGTTATGGGGATTATTTAATAACTATGGAGTTTATTATTAATATAATATGATTAATGGTGGTGATAATTTAATAATTAATAGTAATATTATTATTATTATTATTATTATTGTTATTATTATTATTATTATTATTATTATTATTATTATTATTATTGGAATAAGTAAAATAAGGAATTAGAGATATAAGAAGGTTTTTGGGTAGAAGAGCGTTAGAACACGATAAACAGTTTTAGAGCAAGGTTAATGAGGAAGAACAAAGAGGAAGAGGAAGAAGGCTAAGGCTGTCAGATTCTTGGGCATTCTTCATCAATCGAAGCAATTAATCGAGGTAAGGGGGAGAAACTGATTGGGATTGGTACTTTACATGAATTGGGTAGAGGGGACTCCTTAACCCCATAGGGATTTGATGAACAAGATGAGTATATTGTTATGTTTATGATTGTTGCTGCTATTGATGAATTTGTGCATCTATTGTTGTGATTTTGGTGAGTTTCTGCATAACGTAGCAGAGTTGTGGTTTTGGTGGGGTTCTGTGTAACTTCTGTAGTTTTGGTAATGACCATGAGTTTTGGTTCTGGAGAGAAAATTTGAGGAGCAATTGATTAGAGTTGTGTATAATAGTTATAGTAATAATAGGTAGAAGATGGATGAAGAATGATAGGCTTGGAATTAGTCAAAGTGACATTTTGGACAGTGAGGGTTTTGACTATCGCAGACGCTCGCTAGCAGGTTCTCTAGGCGAGCAAGTAGCGAGTATTCGCTAGGAGAGCTAGGTAGCGAACACTTCCAGTAACCACTGTCTGCCTTCGCTAGGGGGTTCGCTAGGCGAGCAGCTAGCGAGCGTTCGCCAGGGCTTCGCTAAGCAAATAAGCCAGCGAGCATGACAACAAATTGTGATTTTTGTACTGTGTGGTTTGTTCTGTCGTTTTGTAGGACCCCTGTTGGTCGTGATGAGTATAGATATGGTGTTTAGGGGTGAAGAGTGTATACCTGATGTTAAAGAGTTGAAATTATGTAGTATTGACTTTAATTTGATTAACATGATTAATTAGTGTTATATATCTATATGATGTATGGTGATGTGATCAGGAGGATCGTGTGCACTTAGTATGCTTGAATTTATTGGTTGTGTATGGTAATGTGATCAGTAGGATCGTGTGCACGTAGCGTGCTTGAGTTATTTGTTGTGTATTTGGTGTCGTGCATATCATGATGTTTTGGTGGGATAGAATCGTTGCTCAGGAGGAGTGTATGCGATCATCTGTACTCCTTTATGGAGAATGGTGGGGATAGATCATTGCCAAGGAGAGGTGTATGTGATCTATCTGAGGTTCGATTGAATGAACCAATGAGTCGGTACCACATGCATGGTGTTGAGTTGCATATTTGCATTGTTGTATGTCGTGCTGATGATTGGACAATAGGTCGTGATTGATGTTGGTGGGGTGATGATTTGTATATTTACTGCCTTTTATTCATGTATCTTATTACCGATAATTTTGATCATGATTTCTCACCCCTTTGTTGTTGTTGTGTGGTCTATGCTTCTTCGGACGTACAGATAATCCAGGTACTTAGCTAGCTTGGATAGTGCTGTGCGAGTCGAGTCTTAGGATGCTCTGACACGTAGCACGGGACTTGGGTGTTTTATTTGTTTTATGTTAATTTTGTTTCATTCATGTGACGTATCATTGTGGTGAACCTTGTTAATGAATATTTTTGTGTATTTTGGCGGATGGCCGTGAATGATGGATAATAATAATTTTCCGCTGCTTTATTTTGAAAATCATATAATGAAGAGTTATGTTGAACTATTTGATGTGATATCCCACTTTTGGGGGAAAACTCTTATGTTATTTTGAAATAATTGTATTTCATTTGAGTTTTGGAAAGTGGGGTGTTACAATTGGTATCAGAGCAGGTCGGTTCGTCCGACCAGTGTAGTAGTTGAGTCTGTCCTTAGGATAGAGATTGTATACCTTTTAACCTGGTGTTGTTATTGTTAAGCAGTATGGCAGGAAGGAATGATGCTGCTTTGGCTGCTGCTATGCAAGCGATGGCGCATGTGGTTGCTAATCAGAACCAAGCTGCGGGTTCACAATTTCGAGATTTGGCACAGTTTTGGAGTAACAAGCCACTGACGTTTGAAGGAGGAATTTTGGACCCTGAAGCTGCACAGAAGTGGCTGAAGGCAATTGAGAAAATTTTCAGAACGATGGGTTGTAGTGATGAGCAAAAAGTGAAGTTTGGTACTCAGATGCTGGAAGGTGAAGTTGAGGCTTGGTGGGACAACAGTCGCTAAAGATTGGAGACTGATGGAACTGCAATTACTTGGGATGTGGTTCGAACTGGTTTTCTGGAAAAGTATTTTCCGGAAGATATATGAAGTGCTAAGGAGATATAGTTTCTGGAGCTGAAGTAGGGTAATCTGACTGTAGCAGAGTATGTTGCTAAGTTTGAAGAACTGGTGCAGTACTGCCCTCATTACAATACTGAGGCGACAATGACTTCCAAGTGTTTGAAGTTTGAAAATGGGCTGCGTCCGAAAGTCAAGCTGGGGATCGCTTGTCAGAAGACCAGGAATTATCCGGAGCTGGTAAGCAGAAGTAGGATTTATGATAATGATAATCGGGTCAGGATTGCACATTATAAGGCTGTGAATGACCGTAAAGGTAAGCAGAGATTTGGTGGTACTCCTTACAGTGTTCCTGCTGATAAGGGAAAACATAAGGCTGCTG